GGCCTTGGACACTTCCAGGGATCCAGGGGCAGCCACAGCTTCTCTGGGCAACCTGTGCCAGGGCCTCCCCACCCTCTCAGCCAAGAATTTCTTCCGAACATCTGATCCAAACCTCTCCTCTTTGAGTTTAAAACAATTCCCCCTTGTCCCATCTCCACCTGCCCAAGTAAAGTTGCTGGTGGAAATAAGAGCCATTTCAATGCCGGAACAACTGGATGCTCCCCTGGGAAGAGGGTCTGGCTGTGCAGGGGCTGTTCCCCACCACATCTGCTGGCACAAAAGCTCTGGATTTTGCCCTCAAGCTCTCAGGCCCTGAAACTCTGCCAATCTGTGATTGCAGAGCTGCAGCCATAAAGTGTGGCCTCTGTCTGGGCAAATATGGCCCACGTCATAAAAACTCACCCACCCGAGTTCATCCAGTCCAGAGGCACTCCTGAAAATCCTGCTTTGAAGTACAGAAGAAAGGAAGGACAAAAGAAAGGAATATCAGCTTGGAGACCAGATTATTCCTTTCTGTTCAGATGTTCCTGCAAAAATATTGCTGTGCCACAACAGAAGGAAAATAAAAATAAAAAACAGAGGTGGTTTGTTTCTTAGTTTTTTGGGTTTTTTTTAATAAATTCTACTGAGCGTTGTTCAAATGTTCCCAGAGGAATAAAAAGGAATGTTGTATCAAAACTTCAACTTCTCTTTCTTTTCCTGGAAGTTTCAAAAGGCTTTCTGGGGGGGTTGAGTGGAATTTCATCAGAATAGGCATTTTCTCACTGAACTTTTCTTTGACAGAGAAGAGTTCAATGAAAAGGTTCTGCAGCTGCTTTATGTAGGAGGAAACAAGACATGGAGAAAGGGAGAAACCTCTGTAACCTGAGTGTGGACCACAAGAGCTTCATGTTGGTGTCAGATCTATGTGTCTCAAAGGAATCTGAGCCTGGAGAGCAGATGCTCCAATTCACTTCCATGAGCTCAGAGACACTGACTGGCCATGACAGCTGATTTCTGTGCCTGCCTGACCCAGCACAGCCTTAAGTGACCTGTCTGGAGTCACACAGGGAATTCCTGGAGAGCAGGGATTGAACACAGGCCCTTTCAGCTCCACAACTGTGTCAAAACCTGTCAATCCCTTTGGCTTTTGGGACTCTCCACTGACACTTGGGTTGGTCACTTCAAAATGGGAACCCTTTAAGTCTTCAAATTGGAAAAACATTGTCCAGTTGAGTAATGTTGTAAGCTGGGTTCAGTAAGATGATTCTTAGTGTCCCCAAATCCTGCCTGGGTACCCAAAGAAAGGAGCTGACTTCTCAAAGGTGCTCTGAAATCAGTCCTGCTGCTCAGGCACCTCAATATGTGTCTCCTAACCTGACTCCAGGTCCTCTTTTGATGTTCCTCAAGCTTCATCTTCCCTTCCATCTGTACCACATTTGCATCCTCAGCTCTCTTCTAGTGTTTCAAACACTGACCAACTCTCCCACCAGCCAAAGGCCACACGGGACCATTTCCCTTTCCTCTGTGAGCCAGACCCAGTAAAACTGAGTTTACAAATGCTCTCATCAGCAGTGCTCAGTCTATCTTCACTGAGTAATGGGCTGTGGCCACTGATCCTTGGCAGGAATGGTTTGTCCTCCAAAGCTGCTGCCGCTTTCAGCATCCACAGGCCAGTTAAAACCTTTGGGACTTGCCTGGCTTGCTTTGTGACCTCATGTCATGTCTCAGCTTACAGCTGAGATCCTTTAAACTGAACCCTTCACAACCACCTAAGAGAGGCCTTTGGTCTTTTGGTTGTGCATCCATCACACCACAACCTGTTCCAGTGCAAACACCAAACAGCACTCTGTGAGCTGGAAAAACATGGAATCCTGGGATGGGTTTGGTCAGAAGGGATCTTAAAAACCATCCAGTTCCAACCCCCTGCCATGGGAAGGGACAGCTGCCACTGGACCAGGTTGCTCCAAGCTGTGTTGAACACCTCCAGGGGTGGGGAATCCACAACCTCCCTGGGCAATCAGTCCCTCCTGGCCAAGACTGTGCTCAGTGTGGATAAACAGAGTGGATTCCAGTGGGAGTCCTCACACCAGAGGTTTATTGACCCTCACCCCAGAGGTTTATTGAC